CATAAAAATAAATCGCGTACAAATTGAAAATAATTTCAGATCTGATTTTGTCCTGGCAAGCGGGCAACTGGACAGAGATGTCTTCGGCGGAATTGCGGAGGACAGGCGGGTCAACCACCACGGGTGGTGGAGCAAAGTGCTTGGTGCCGGAGTGGTGCCGCGGTACGTACGGTGGTGTCCCTTCCATTCCACTAAGTACACAAGAATGGAGCGTAAAAAATTTTATCGTCGCGGTTTTTACGGAATGTGATCCGCGGCGATTAAGTGCGCGGCTTTTGTGTCATTGTCATGCCGTCGTCCTGGCCAAAAGGGGCGGGGTTCTCAAGGCAGGGGCGGCGGTTTATTTGCAGGGAGTCCTCCGCCCCAGAACCCTCTGTAATGTATTCAAATTTTTCCAAGGCGAGGCCAGAGTGTCAGTGCATTCATTTCATAAAATGCTTTTCTCTCCTCCACTTTTCCCCGTTTTCCACTTTTTTCCTTTTTCCAGCTTTTTTTAATTTAATCGCGGGCAAATATTTTCATTCTTACTGAAACGCTTTTAGCTAAATGAGTGGAAATAAAATTAAATCGATATTGGTTAACGTCAAAGTTTTAGGGGAAACCTCAAATGACCAATTTGGGGGAAAATTAAAGGAAACCCAAGATGAGTTGGGAAAAGGTCCTAATGCGGGAAATTGATTTCCTTAAATGATTATTTGCTCCCTAATCGAGTATTAAATTACTCAACTTGTAAGTAAAGTACTTTTAATACTATTTTATAGATTTAATATAGAAAACTGATACTCTTTGTAGGGTATTTAAGGTGTTTCAAACCGAGATTTTACCATAAAGAGGGGCATTTTCCCAAATAAAGATAAGGTGAAAGAAAAATTGCCTCACTAATTTCCCTTTTACCTCACACAGATGCCACAAGAACCTTGAACATTTTAAATTCTCTGATAAATTTGCAGGCCCTTTTCCCTTTAAAAATAATGACAAATCAGTTTGCAGATAAAACCACCGAAAAAGCCACCCAAAAATGTGGTAGAAAATAATAATCTTAAAATTTACTTGGCCCAGCCGCCGGCTCAAGCTTAACTAATTGTAACAGATTTTTTCACAGTCACGTTGGAAAGGGAAAGGGGCCGGGAAAGGCGAAAGAAAAATATGGAAAACCCTCTGGGGCGTAAACGTCTGCCTGGCATTATCCTGGCTGCGGTCGGCCAATTAGAACCCTTTGTTTGCCTTGGCCAAGACGCCGCGCCGTGCACTTATCTCCATAATAAAGTCGTAACAATTAATTCGAGCGACCCGAAAAGGGGCCACCTTTCCTTCAGCCCAAAGGATTCGGGCCTTGAAAGGAGCCTTGAGATTTTTCATCGTTTGACGCGTAATTAGTGCTTAAAAATTATTTGACGAGCGTCAATTAATTTAATGCCCGGCGACAAGATTTCAAGTTTACCTTTCTTGGGGGTTTATTTTGGGCGGGATGTGATCAAAACAATGAAGTCAAGATCAGATAGTAGTCCCTGATATCCTTCTATCTAGCCAAATGTTTAGCTTAACAAGTTTCCAACCAACTATAGTCACAATTTTACTTACTTAAACAGTCCCAGAGAGTCCACAAGTCTATTAAATGTCAACCAGACAATCAAGGGATATCAATAACTGAATAAATTTATGAGAAATCCTTCCTCCCCTTCTAATACCCATCCGTTAGATGGCCAACAAATGTATAGCAATCTGAGTATAGTGAAATATCCCTGACTTTTTGCCACTTCGCACCGAATTCGTTTTGAATGAATTCAACTGTAAAGGTTAAAATTATAAATGTGCAAATGACTCATCATAAATAAAATTAATAAAAGGCACCGCGATCCTGGCCCTGTCCTCTGCTTTTTTTTTCTCTGACCCTGGCAGACTCCGAGGCCTTCATTGAGAAAAAGTACAACGCATCAACATAAATATTATGATAAATGGTTTGTTATAATCGTAATCCTCGGGGGGTAAGTTTCGAGTCGTGCCGCACGCATTTTTTATGCTCTTCCACTCTTCCGGCCTTCTGCCCTCCACCCACCAGTGCACAGTCAACCAGGAGCAGGATGAACTGCTTTGGCTCTCGAATGGAGCAACATATGGTCGCGGGGTGGATGATGCAGATGGCGCTCCGAATGGATTGCCGCCTCTCAATAGCCGGGGCCAACGAAGTCAAATTGTTTTTTATTGGTTTACCCCCAAACTGCTCCTTTCAGTGAAAGTATCTCAATGTCCTGGTGAGATCCGTTCGCGTATCTCGCAGATACTTGAAGAGAACTCAAACATGTTGCTCGACAATTACAAACTTTTCTTGCAGTTCATTACGCCTAATTAACACTCGATGCTGAGCTGGATGGAGTTTTATTGCTTACACTTTGTGTGTGCATGTAAACAGGCTATCAAAACAATAACTGAGGAGAAGTCCCCAGCCCTGAAACCTCCATCCTGCGAAGGGATTCCGACCGAAATACGCGCCACACATTAAAATTCAGGATGCGTTGCAAACAATTTGCGGCAAACAATGGGAGAGGATGCAGGGATACAAATTGTTATTTCAGCCAGGAAAAGGAATGTGCTCTTAAATGGCTTGGCTTAATAGGCCTCATTTTAACCGAGGGATATACGTGGCTATATTTAAATTATTAATACAGTTGCTTTACTTAAAGGTTGCCATTAAAAGTACCTGACAGATAGATTTCTTTAGAATTCTCTTTCTATAATAATACAATGGGGGATAGAAGACTTTAAAGGTTATATTAAGTTCGAATCAGTAACCTTAAATGTGATCTTTAGCCAACCTATTACTCATTTCCCATTCACAGATCTGCCGACTTGAGAACCATTTAGATCGGTTACCACTTGACAAGGAATTAATTTGACAACGTTAACAAATTAAACTGTTAAACCAACACAAACCAACTCAAACTCCTGGCCCTGTTCGCACACTGAGATAAACAAATGGTCGCCGGACGGACATTTACAACATCATTTGTAATCCATATCGCTCAGCATGTCGTCCCTTCGTTCCTCGACCTGGCACTCTATACATAAGTATGTAGTGTGTGGCAGGGTGTGGGTGTGAAAGATGTATTGACCCTTCAACGGCGCTTCGGAATGCTTCACGCTATTTATTGGCTCACTTTCACTACGGGAAACCAGAGGCCAACCGGAGTCCCGGACCCGGAGAAAGATTTCTCCCCTCTGGGGAATGCCTTGACGGTTCCATTTGCCACTCTGCACCGGCCACGTGTTGGGATTTGGCGGTTAAACACACACTCTTACACACACTTTCCGGTGGATTAGTCCTGCTCATTTGTCAACAGGATGTGTGGTTGCTGAGTGTGGTCAATATTAATTGGCAATGTATTAGTTTAAGTCAGTTCACATATTTGTTTTGCCTATTGGTGGGGATTTAACTTAATGATGACTATATTCGGAATAAATTTAATACATTTATAATTTGAATATAAACTTCTATTGAGAGAAAATGGCATTAAAGGAACTCTTCTGCTGGAAATGAAACTGATTTAAAGGTCTTTAATGGTAAATACTCGATGATGAAGTTGTTACAAATGTTAAACAAATTTCGGGTTCTCAATCACAAAAATCAATAAATTTCGGTTTATAACACTTGTTTTTGACGAAGAATTTCCATCATAACAGCTCTCATTCACGTTATTTAAGTTTTTTACAATTAGTGAGAAACTTAAAGTTGTTCACAGAGGACACAGCCCCTTGCAACTTGCTCGACTTGTGTCCGATTTGAATGATAAATTGAAAATCTCCTTCCACATATTGCAGCATTTTATTCCCTGCAACCCAATAACTCCACTTGTGTCCCTCGGCAAGTGAATGGGGAAATGGGGACTGGGAACTGGGAACTGGGGAATGGCGAATGGGAGGCACTGGTTTAAAATGGTGCAGAGGCAGACACGAAATTCGTATTTGCTGTGCTGCAAGATGGCCCGAGGCCGAGAAGGCTTGCAATTGCAACGTGCAACACGGCATTTCCCCGGCCTCCACTGCCCCCTCGATATCGAAGGCAAAAAAAAAGGCAAAAAGGGGGACAGGAAAAAATATTTTGACAAATGAACCCAAATAACAGGTTGCAATCGCTGTGAGGAACGGGGCTCGGGTTTTGGGCAGGTCGGACAGGAAAACGTATGGTCAGACAACCTTGATACCTCATTTATTTTAAATGCGGCTGCCTCGATCCCTGGCCCAGCTGTAGTTTTCTTTAGTTTTTTCTGTATTTCTTACTCGCCGCGTCGCCTTTTCGTATTTCTTGCGCAAATGAAATCGACACATTCGACTCGAGTCATAGCGAAGGGAAATAAATGAAACATTTCCAGCTTGGTCCGCTCTGCTCTCGAAAATTGTTACAAATGATCGCAAATAACAGATCTTTGCCGGCACAGACCGAGCTGTCCATCAAAGGAGCCGAACCCTCTCGGTGCGTGATCGAGTGGCGGAGGTAAAGGGATCGGGATCGGGATTGGGACTGGGATTGGAAACCAGACATAGAACGCTGGTCTCTGGCTTTCTGGACGGGAAGTGGCGAAGGCGCCGCCATGCTGCGCCTCATTTGATGCAAGGTAAATTGCATTGATTTCTTGATTAATGACAGTTTCGCATTTCACTGGCTGCACAGCGAGAAAAGTGTTTGGGTTGACATTGGGCGAATAAAAACCATTATACTCAAGGTAGGAAATCTCCAAAGCTAATCAGATAATTAGGAAATTAGTGTAAATAGGCAGACCAGTTTATTTAGCAGCAGTGAAAATGTATGTCTTAGCATTTAAACGCAGCTTAATGGCAGCTTACTTTAAAAAAGTAAAAAAAAAAGCTAGCATATCCTTTAATTTTATAGAATATTTGAACTTATTCATGATGAATTAAAAAACTCGTGAGTCCCACTTAACATCCATAACATCTCTTAGTATTGCCTTGTTTTTTCTCCCAGTGTATTGTGTATCTGCACTTACCCTGATTGTTGTTGTTGCTGCTTTTGCGGGATGTCTTCTTCTCCTTCATCCAGGGATACTCCGGCACCGAGTCCATGCCATCAGGCGTCTGAGGGACAACGCCAACCGGATATCCGACACCGACATTGACATTAACGTTGACGCCCACTCCTCCGATGGCGCCGGATCCAACAGGTGTCCCGATTTTTGGACTTTCCGGACTCAGGTGGTTGAGGAACTCGGCCATCGACGGCTGCGAGTTGATGAAACCGCCCTCGGAGGCTGCCATCCAATAGGCCGTGTCCGCGGTCCGTTTATCACAGTTCGGGGCCATCTTGTTGACCAGCATCACCGCCGGCACAGGTGGCGCCCCCTGCTGGCCGATGCCGGGTGGTCCGACACCCACTCCCACACCGACACCCACAACGCCAGCACCACCGCAACCACCCACTGGCAGGCCCGTCTGTCCGGTTTGCACCTGCAGCGGATTCAGCGGCGATTCCGACTTGATTTGCGTTCCCATCGGGGTCGCATCCAGGGTGCTGCAGACCTCCTGCATGGCTTGGGTTTAGCTTTTCTTGATTCAGTTACTATCTACTTTAATTCCGTAGTATCTTAGTGATTCCTCAGCTTGGGACCCTGGAAGAACGTACACAGTTTTCGCATTCAATAAAAGTAGATTCTCTTCAAATATCAAGAAACAAAGCTTAGTAATATAAAATAAAATATAAATGAAATGTATAATTCATTTAAGCTGTCCCACTAATCACATAGCAAAACTCTTTTGAAAAATTACTACAATTTAAATTATGCCGAGCTCTATTTTGAGAAATATAAAAATTGTTTACAAAACCCCAATATTTCTGAATATTTTTTATGATAATACCATATTTATTTATGAGGTAATTTGGTACATTAAGACTTTAAGAGACTTGTTTTTTGTCAATTGTTTTTTAATATTTATTTATTTATTTACAGCATTTAAACTTATTTTCAAAAACAAATAAATTGTAAATATTTGAAATAATACTTGAATATGTGAAATAAAATATTAATCTTTATCTTAACAATTTCCATATTAAGCAATATATATCAGAGAAAGCTTTGTTTACTAATTTTTCATCAAAGGAATAGCTCAAAATTTTTAAAATTAAGAATTGAAGATTTCGAATTTTGCATTCAATTTGGATTTTGGGCGGGTTGTCAAAGCGTTTTGGTTTCCAGAATAAAGAATTTATAATGCAATATATAATGTTTCAAGATGTTCTTATGTTCTTTTTGGAATGTTTATATTTACGGAAGAAAATTTACCAAGGACGCCAAAAACCCTAAATGGCGGGGATTTAGATTAAAAACAAGTTTCTACACAAAAACAAAATAGAAAATAAAAGTAAAAATTGCATCTTAGCTTGCATTGCTTGTACTTTTCTAATCACTGTCCTATCAGCATGGTATTTATCGAAATACAAAAATTATTTTTCAGTTTTGTTATTTCAACAAAAACCTTATTTTGTATTCCCTAAAAACAGGACAAATTTGTGTCAAAAAATTTGTATGAAAATGAAACAAGAAACAAAGCGGCGAGTACTAAATAAAGCTACTTTTCGATCTGTAAAATTGTTCTTTAAATTTGAATTGACCAAACCAATGCACAAGGTTTTTGATAGTTCTTTTTATTTGATCGAAGTCATTGAAGTACTTATTTTAAAATGGAGAATCACAGGAACATTTTTGCAGAGCCTTAGATATGTATCGAAAATAATTGGTAAGACAAAAGCATATCGTACCATTTCAAATAGATCATTTACAGATCACTGTATTCCATATTTGTTTTCGATTTTAGGTTTTCATAAGCGTTCTTTGTCGAAATTTCACTCTGTTGCGGTTTTCACTAAAGTCTGCACTTGTTCGCACTAACTGTTGTGGCTTAACCCTTTGGTTTGTTTTTCTTTTTTGTTAGTTTCAACGGGCACAACTTTCGCGATGCGGGTTTTGCATAGAACTTTAGTGTGTCAGGGCTTATCTGTGGGCCGCGAACAGGCGACAACCGCGACGACAACGAGGGAACCCAGATCCGAATATAAATATGGCCACCGTTGTGTTTGCTCAACCGTCAAGTGCTGTTTCGGGGCTTGTTTTTTGCTTTTCAGGTCGACACACACCTTTTGGCAGCCATGGCGACGCGAAAGGGCCAACACAACCGACGAAACTGCGGCGATAATGCAACTACGCGCTGCACTACAGTGCGTATGCGTGATGTGTAGATATTGTAGAGTTTTGTAGAGTTTTGTAGAGTTGCTGCGATCGTTGCAATGGCCACACACACTAACACAAATACACACACGCACGCTCAGTTATTGCAATTCGTCTGAGATAGTTTTCTCCACTTCGCACTCACACACATGTGGGCACTAGCTGTCCCTTTCAGACCTACGAGAGGTGCGCAGAACCGGTTTTTCAGGGGTTCCTAAAGCGGTTCTTATCCGAATGCACCAAATTATGGCTGAACTTTCAGTTTCATCAATTGAAATATTATTATTTTAAGTTTTTAATACTTTTTAGGGATTATATTTTATTTAATAATATTATTATTACTCCTTGACCACCGAACCGATTGTCAACGAGAGCGAGAGCGAGACAGAGGGCTTCTGGGAAGCTTCGTGCTGTTCCCGAGAGCTAAGAGCAGCCAACAACCATTCCATCCAATAGCACCGAACGCACTGAACTGCGATTTTGGACTCCACTGGCAAGGAGTGGCCTAAGCGACAGCCACCGCATCCATCACGCTTTTCCTGGCCGGCACATGCGCGGTGCCATCTGGAAACTGGTTACTAAAGCCATTACTCGTAGTGCCCAGGGGGTGGAGTTCACGCACACCGGCGCACAAGTCTCCGGCCTTCCGATTGGCCGGCACTTCACTAGGTTTTGTATCTTTGCGGTCGTGTAGCTCAGTAGCCCCTGTATCTTGGGCCGTCATTTCCGTAGCGTTTTCTTGCCTCACTCGCTTTTTTCCACTTCCAACGCGAACGTGTTGCTTGTGACGGAATTTATTTGGTTTTTTGTTATTTACACATTCCGCAGCAGCAGAAAAAATGAAAAGAAAAACGAAAAAGAAGAAGGAAAAAGAAAAAGCCATAGATGGGAGTTTCTTCTCGCTCTCCGGCTTTTTTGGCTTTCGGGTATTTTTGACATTTCGCTTTGCTCATCGCTCTTTTTGTTTTGGGCGCCTCTTCTCTTGTCTAACCATCACGCTGTCAATCTTTGGTGGCATGCTTTTTGCCTTTTCGGCCACCTCTTCGCTCTCTTTTTGCCACATTCTCCAATCTCCTCCAATCCACTACATGCCGTCCAGTCGTCGGCGGCAAAAGTACGTAATTATGTGCGGATTTTAATGCACACGAGTGTCACTACAGGTGTAAAAATATTGCCCCATTCGTAACAACAGGCTGGAAGAGGGGAGGGGTGTTTGGAGTCACGAACAATAGAGTGCTGAAAAAAGAGCTTTCATTCTAAAAGAGCTCTAAAGTTCCACAAAAAGCATTTACTGAGCCAAGTTATATTATCTAGGGTACTTTTTCCTTTTGGTTTTTCGGGAAAAAGTTGAAAACTCAAAGAAGCCTTCTTAACGAAAACGAATTAAATTCCAGTATTTCCATTTTTATGGATTTCACAAGCTTTATATACGTTTTGTGGTTATTTTAGCTCAGTTAAAACCACATATGATTTGAGTAATTTTCTGGATTCAAATGAACTAATTGTCATTTTCATGAATTTTGTTTTATTTTAGCCAAAGGGTTAGCACCAAATCTATAAAATAATATATTACAATTCAATATCAATGATCTTGGTATATGTACAGTCTTAATTACATTAAATTAAACCCGAAATATTCTTAAAAGTCTAATAAATTCTGAATAAAGTCATAATCGACATCCAAAATATCCCCTGAACCGTAGAACCCGAAGCAGAACTATTCGAGTCCCAGCAGAAATTCTGCATCATTGGCTGCTCCTGGAGGTAGCTAGATTTATTTGGTTCTATGAAATTTCCTTGGTTGGGAATAGATGGTTCCAGACCCAACCAAGTACTTCCCCAATTAGAATCGAACTCGCTGAAGGACTGTTGGGGAATATCCATTGGGGCAGGACAGAACTCCTGGAGGTAATCATAGGATTGATAGGGTGGTGTGATGTGACCATCTTGTAAGAAAAATGGAGCCTCCTGCTGCACTGGAGCGGGTTCCACGTTTGTGTTGGCATACTGAAGGAGGCGCTCCACGATCTGTTCGTCCTCCAAGAGATCCTCGCTTGAATGGGAAGCCGCTGAGATAGTCGCGGTCAGAGCTCCTTTGGACCCTTTCTTATTGGTCGATTTCTTTAGCTTCATGCGGCGATTCTGGAACCAGATCTTGATCTGTCTCTCAGTGAGGTCTAACCGTTGGGAGATCTCTATCCTGCGAGTCCTTGCCAAATATTTATTGAGATGGAACTCCCTTTCCAGTTCGATAAGCTGATGACTGGTAAAGGCAGTGCGAGATCTCTTGGACTTTTCCAAGGACTTGGTTACAGTTAGGGGAGCTGCTTCTGCGTTTAAGTCGAGACAAGGATACATCTAAAAAATATTACAAACCTTTTAGTTTCACTCAAAATCTATTGAGCCATTTCGAACTTACCACGAAGTCGCTAACTGAAGAGTTGTCAACGAAGTAGTTTTCAGTTTCAATGTTAAACATTTTTCTAGAAGAGCCCAGTATTGTTTGCTTCTGTTCGCTTTCAGTTGTGTTTTTTAACTAGATGTCCCTGGAGTCATCCCATTTGCTTATATACCTCAGCTGGCTTAGGTAACGGATCGGTTAGGGGCCTACCTGTCCCGCCGGCGACACTTCCTAGTTCGCAGACGGCTGGTCTGGCCTGGTAGATGTCGCGTCTCCCTGAGCCCGGCTCCGAATCAAGGTGAAGTCTCAGGCTCCAGAGAACCCGACACTATTCTGGCTATCGTCACGTTCGGGCGACAGGAGTCCTGGCTCCTCATTGTTCGGAGTAAACGAATTCGGAGATTTGGCTTGCAAGGATCTGCTGAACTATATAAAGGGGCAAATATTTATTAGTAGTTAAGTTTTACGTAATTAGTATTAAGGAACTTTATATACAAATAAAATATAGCCACGTGTTCGGTTTAAGTTGTTCCTTAACCATCTTAGAGATCCAAAGCGATACCTACATGTGATCACCTCAACCCTGTTTAGTCGCAGGCCAATGAAGACCCCAAACTCCCGACCAGGTAAAGATCGGCCATGAACGGGAAAGATTTTGGTTTTCCCCGGGGTTTTCCACAACAGTTATGAATATCTAAGGGTTGAGCTACCTGCTTAGTAAGGAAGAACCTCCCGATCCGATCCTTCCCTGATCCCTGCCCATAAAAAGATTGTCACTTCGGGCTAATCCAATCACCCGCTATAAAAGTCCGCTACATACCCGAGCTACGTGCTATATAGCACAGATTTACGATGGTCCAGGCTTATGTAAACTAAAACTATATATTCTACGAGGGAACACATAAGTCCAACTAAAACGAAATCTCCCAAGAGAGATCTGGATCCCAGAAGATCGGTTGATCTGAAGGGAAGCCTAATCTTCCGCTGGGTTGTTCTAAATTTATGAAAAATATCTCTTAAAATGGTGGATATTATTTTATTTTAACAATATTTCCCTTTACATTGTACGAAACATTTTTAGAAGGTTAAGATATGAAGCCAACAGGCCAAACCAACCATTTGGCTAAACAATTTTGTGGTCACAGCGGCAGGCTCCTCGTGCTCGTGCTCCTTAGTGAGCTCAGATAAATTGGTGTCATCACATCATAAAGTGATTTCCAGCATATTGAAATTTCCTGCAGCTTTTCCATCTCGGCCAGAGTGTTGTGTCACATGGGAAGGATATGAGGACACTCGGATCACATTAGATTTGCCATGTTTTGTGAACAATATTTCATCGTCAGCTGTCACGGAGTCATGTCTTTTTATTAGTTATTTGATTATGCCAATGATAGAAACTTGTGGAATTTCATTATCGATAAAGTTTGGCAAGCATAGGAGCATAGAAAAATTGGTTAACCAAATGAATAAAGTTGTAGATGTGGAATGAATACATAAGGACGGCCTTCACATATTTATTTTTGGATGCATTGCCATGACAATAATAGATAATTATTTCGATCTCATCCTGTGATCAGCTATCGGCTAATGTATTTCTAATTGAAATATTTTCACCCGATTCGCTTGACATAAAACCATGAAATTAAGCAATAAAAACATTCCATGAATTGCGGAAAAACAATTGATTGATGCCCTACATGTCCATATATATTCCATACTTAGCGATTTCCTATTGTTCAGATAGAATAAAACGGAGACGTAACTGTCAGATAATTCCGTTAAACGGAAAGGATTAATGAGTAGATAAGAATTTGGTGCCTCCTCAGTGGGACGACTCATTTGGAGCTTCCCTGTGGCACCATCCTCTGCCCTATGCCCCCTGAACCACCCACACCCACACCCACCCAAGAACAAGATGCAACTACCGCAACAACCGTGACAAGTACAACATTTGTGTCGCCTGCCTCGGCTTCAATCTGTCGCCCTCCGCCTGTGCCACGCAACCTTTGACACGCATAAATGGAACAGTCAACCCCCGGTTCATGCTCCACCGCCCGACATAGCCCTGCTTTCAAATCTGCACTTACAAAAACTTTGTTTATTTATTAGTTTTACAATTTCCTCTGTTTTATGATTTCTTAAGTATTATACATATAGTTCGTAGTTTCAAATCGATCTTAAAAGGTGGCTAGTACCCTTCAGGCTTTCGATATATAAATGGGAAAATAAAACTGCGGATTATTCGATGTTTTAAATAGTTTACAAAATCACTTATTATTCTAAAAAATTACCTTTTTATAGTTTTAATTTTCTATATACAAATTTTCATCACTAACAAATCAATCAAATTAATTTATAATTTATTTTTATAATAGAATATATTTTTCCTGAGTGGTTCAGACATGCCAATGTCAGCTCCTCGCAGTACGGTCTACGGTGTACGGTCTGCTTGTGCTGTCCTGGCCCGAAACCCGGACCCGGCACAAACAAAGATCGCAATTTGACTCTACACCACGGAGCTGTCAGCTGGCAGAGAGTGAAGGAAGATTGATTACCGCCATCGAATTGTTTGCCTTCATCCAGGGTGGTTGCAGCGGCGGATGGGGCAGCAGAGGATGTGCCCTGTGTGCCTGACTTCGATTGAATGGCATCGGCATCGGAATGGAATCGAAAGAGTTGAGCCACCAAACACGATACTCCTGCTGTCATATGTAAACAACACTTGAAGTTTCTGCGGGGATTGGGTTGCGTTTTAAACCCCAGACGAGGATGCTCTTGGCTTAAAGCTGGAAATAAGCTGTATAATCGGGTTGTTATGATAATTCTGGGAGTAACATGGATATTAAAGAATCATCTTAAAGTTTAAGAAACGTCTTACTCAGGGTGAGATTGAACTTATTCTTAGCCTACTTTAAAAGCATTGCCGAAGATTCCGAATCCCTAAATATTCATCATCCACTCCCAAATCTTATTTTAGCTTTTCCAGGAAATCATCAATGAACTCCATCTGCTTGGAATTGAATTTGCTGGGCATATTTAACACAGTTCTCGAAGTTGGACTCGTCTTTGAGGCCTTTGTAGGCCATGGCCCGGTACATCCACGCCCTCAGGTTCTTCTCATCCAGCTTGTTCAGAACGAAATCGCAGTCGACTATGCCCCGCTTGAATTTGCCAGATCTGTGGGGATGGAAGGGTATTCGTCAGTCGGTAATTATACAAAAGGAATTTCTATTTAATTGGCTTACTTGATGAAGCAGAGAGCTCGATTTATGTAGAGGATGTAACTGTCCCGGATATTTTCAATGGCTTCGGTGTACATGTGCATGGCTGCTTCGTAGTTACCCTTTCGATACTCAGCATTTCCTAATCTGGATATTAAATTATGTTACTTTAAGAAGAATACTCCAAAAAAACGTACTTTCGAAAGTTTTGGGCCACTCGTTCTCTTTCTAAGCGAGCTTTAGAACGCTGATCCAGATCCATTTCCACCTGACGCATAAAGGGAAATCTATCCTTAGTCCTGTCGAAACGCTTGAAAGTTCTAGGCCTTGATCTTTCCTTGGAAACATTATCTTCGGGTGCAGTAATAACAGTAGAAGAGTTTTTCCTTTCAGTGATTATAAAATTTTCCTCTGTCATTTTCATAGTTTTGGGACTCTTTTCAACTTTTTGTTGCCCTTCGTCATCTTCCCTAGATAAAAATAATTAAAACGTTTTGTAAGAGATCTGATTTCCTTCTTACTCCTTTGGAACTTGAAGGTTTTCCAGCAACCTGACCACTTCCTCAACTGTTGATTCGGAGTCCAGAAAGCTTTCATCGATTTGCGGGTGCTGCAGGGAGTACATGCTCCCAATTATTAAGTAATGACCGGCGGATTCAAATAAATATTTGCTTTTGATTAGACCGCTGCGGAGTTTTGTTTGTCCGGAATGTTTGTTTACCAGCTGGGCAAACGAATCGCGTGGCAACTTTGGGGTTGCACTATTTACTGCCCATAACCAACTGGTTGCCTAGCAATATGGTCAAAAAGTGTTTGTTGGCTATCGATAAAATTGTTCTTTGAGTGATTTTAAATGCTTAAATATATACTTATTTATATTGATTAAGTACTAAAATTTCTTGGTCTCCAAGTTTCTAAGACTTTGATTAAATATTTATTTTGCAGAAAAGTTACAGCTATAAAGCTATATGCATTGTATTACGTTTTCGCCAGTCATTTGCGTTGAATCGTTTACATGATTACGGGTGTAGCGAAACACACACCTGCATACCCTGTAACTGCCACTCCGGCTGATAGCCATAGTCATACTCACGCTCACATTACTTTTCATTTAATCTCATACAATTTGTAAGATAAAGAAATGCGCAAATGCATGTTCAGCTCAGCTTGGCTCGAAGGATCAATTATAGACTATAAAACATAATGGCATCTAATAATAGTAGAGCCGCAATCTCAACACAACTGAACGTAGTACCCCCAAACCTCCCTCCGCTGTACAGAGAGCTCTGCACTTAGAGAAAAGAATATTAAATTATTCATTTTTAAAATTATTCGAAACGTTAATGTCCAACTGAATTAGCTATACATTTCCCCTAGTAATATTTTGTATTTATATTTTAATTTAGCCGAGCTGAAGACCTTAGCTGCTATTGCTACTAGCCTAGCCTCCTATGTTAGCTCTTAGTTTTAACTAATTGTTAGACTTAGATAAATGAATAAATAAATAAACCTACAACATTATAAAAAAAACTAATTATATTTATATGAAAAGATATATTTCGAAATTATTTGAAATAATATTACATATTTGATTTTCTCAGGTTAAGGATTTTTTAGGTTCTTGTTATGTTTATATCCTTATTATGCTTCTGGTTTCTAAATTTGTTTAAGTGGTTATAATTTCAATATGTTTTGACTCTTTGTTGGAATAGTTTTGCCACATTTCTTCTATTCTAAATATAAATTTTAATGAATTAAAAGGCTAATATAGGTTATATATAATAAATATGTTACATTTAGAAGATGCTTTCAGAAGAAATAATTTTGTAATAATAACATTTCTCCATTTCACCAAATATAATCATTTCTGGCAGTGCTTCGTAGCCATCTCTCTCGCTCCTTCTACTCACCTGGGAGTGCATGTCGCTGGGACATTACCTGCAGTGCTGCATTCAGGGGCGTGGTGGAGAAAAGGATCCTGGCTGGGTGGCGGATATGTGTCTGTGTCGTGTGGGCCAGGCATTTAGGAGCCCGGCCAGCACACACACACGCAGTCAGCCGAGTGGCAACCGGACATGGACATGCTTAAGCGCCGGGCTCTCTTGGCCACGTTAGCGGGGAAAGAGGCGGGGCCAAAATGCACGGGGATAAATAATTGCAGTGGAAGGAAGCGGCAGAAGGAGGACTGAACTGGTTGTGGCACCATTTCGCTCCTGCCGGCAAACCAGCAAATGGACAAACGACAACGACACCAAATTGCTCACATGACGCACCGCATTTTTTATTCAGCACGAATTTGGCTGTCGGTTGGCCAAAGTTGGTAACGCTCCTTGCGGCAACGACTCGCCGCCTGGCGGCATCATCAGCATAGATTGCCATTTCGACGTAATTGTTATAAATGAATTTCACGTAATTTAATTATGGGTTTTAGACCGATGAAAAATATACCAACCAACGGGCCATAAATACGGCCCAAGCCCATGCATAGAGGTCACTTGCATATGCTGCGTATGCGTATCAGCTGTTGGAGAGGGTTGAGGAAATGCTCGAATTATCCATGATCCATGAAATGGGCACAGTTCGATGGGGCGGGGAGGGGATTGGGAAATCAACCTGAATTACAAGTGACTGAATGGAAGGGGAAGTGCAGTCCAAGCTGGCTCATTGTTTAAAGGCCAATCTGTCACACTCTCTCATTGGAGTTAGTTAAAGGTTAAATTAGATTACGTTTTGTACTCCGAGTTAAAAAATAACTAAATTAAGATAAAATAAGAATCATTTAGCATGACTAATCACTGAAATATCTGCCACTAGCTCCATGGTCATCTCAACTGCTGTTTAAATTTCAATGCAAAGTTGCAGAGACTCCATAAGGTCGAAATAAATTCAGCAACAGATGCTGGCAACAACATCACGGCTCACGACCCGAGTGACTCTTGTCCCTGTTGAGGCAACCAAAAATTCTATTGTTAGCCCAAGGATTCCATTTTGGGGCACAGGATGCTCCACTACCTTGCCGTCCCCAACTCCTGGCAATTGGCATTCAAATTTTGAAGTGATTTTTTTCACGCATTCACAATCTTCCGTGGAATACAAAATAAGAACAGTTGCATATGCATATTCTTTTTTTGTGGGCCAAAACAGTACAAGCCCGGAATATGTGGAATGGAGGGAAAGTTTTTCGGGCTCGGCACGATTTGTTTATACGACAGGTGTTGGCCATATCGGTGGCGTTGAGGGACTAACACGTCTGTGAAATGTCATAACGTTTAAACGTGCCAAAAATATCCAAATTGGCCAGAGAACAGTTGGGCATAGAAATGCTAAAAAGGATGAGCCATATACTGTTGGAAGCGTTTTTGGCCGAGACTTTTATAATTTATAGGCGATGCTGAATGTGGAGCTTGAAATAGTTTACTTTAGAGTTTACCATTTATATATTTAGTATATACATTTTCGGTTTCCTAAAATCCACGTTCCACGTTGGTAGTTTTCTTCTGAGTCGTTTTGAAACTTGAAATTTCTTTACCGTAAATTTTTATTAAATAATGAATCTAGATTCAATGGACATATACATAAAAAAGTATATTTTCTTCCAAATAAGATACCTTTTCGTTAGACCTTAGTTTCAAAATAACCAGCTTAATTAACTTGCCAAGATATCTGGCTAAAACAGAGTGGATTTCTTAGCAAAGCCATTTCATTTGCACACAAAATACATTTCGCTCGGCTGTCGCAAGGATTCCATTCTCTTGGCTTAGCCGCGAATTCAAAATTCATAGCCAAAGGAGTTGGGGGTGAGCTTCGGTTGAAAGCCAAAAGCTTCCAAAAGGCGATTAGCCATAAAAATTATAGATTCAATCTAATTACAAAACGCTGCGGTTGGGCATCGTGGAGTGGGCGTGCGACTCCCAAGTGAATATTTAATTTAATTAACAAGAAACAATTTGAAATGTTTTTCGCCCAGCCTCCAATGCGGCTGCGGAATTTATTGTTATGACCAGGCCAAGACTGCGGCGTTGTCGTTGTCATCAATGATTCCGGCTAATAAAACCGCAATGTTGCCACCGAGCGAATGATTGAGCTTAGGAATTGGCTAACTGGAACAATGGGAACAATCTGTGCGCTGTTGGACATGTTTATTACATTGGCATTTCGCGTAATTGAAGCTGGCCCGCGGAGAGTTGTTTACTTGTTCCTGCTGTTGGCTTTTTATGCGAGTTTGATTAGCTGCCTCTGATTGCCGGGCGATTAGCCACGCCCACGCTCCTCGAATCCGGCATCTATATTCATTATGGCAGCCCCGAAACATGTGCAGGACATGCTCCCGGCGATGGCAAGCCGAGCGAAAACCAAAAGCAGAACCAGAACCAGAACCGAGGCGAACCGGACCACATGTCAGGAAATGTCAACAATGCGCATGAAAATTCCAAGGATCCACCCCTGCGGAAGGTCCTCCCCTTTGACCCGTGACTTCCGCATGGGCGCACTATTAAAAATGACCCACAACTTTAAGAATGTAAGTGAATGAGGAGGCAGCTATTTAAATTCTCAATATAACATGTAATTGGAGCTCTTTGATTGCTTGCAAGTCAGGTCTTTTATGAGCCCTTTGTAGAAATGAGCATTAAATGTATGAATAAAATAATAATAATTTAGTGATAAATAAACTTTGAAAATATATTTTTTATATTTTAAGTAAGTTATAGGGATTAACTAAAAGTACTTCTTAAGTCAAACTTCGTTGCTGATATATATATTAATGTCCTCAATTATTTTTCAAAGTGCATGTCCTGCGAGACCTTGGGCTGTGGCAAGTGCGAGCGACAATTTCCTCCCAGGGGAAGCAATTTGCCACACACACAGCGCTACACTCCACTCCACACCTTAGGGCCAAGGACCAAAGGGATGGATGGATGGGATGGTATAGAGTAGAGGGACTGGTGGAAATTCCTTCGAGCTGAGGCTGAGTGCCGCATTTCCGCGCTGCAAGACGCTGGCCAGCCACCGCAGCCCGTAGCAAGTAATGTGTGCGGTTAAATGTCCATAAATCAAATCCTAACACTCCACGTCCGCCGCTCAAGATGACCAACGGTACCCGGTCCGGCGGGCTGTAACTGAAACTGAACCTGAATCCAGCCGGATCTGGATTGGGAGAGGGAATGGGAATGGGGCTGGACCTGTCCGAGTTAATGCGGTTGACACTTTTCTGGGCCCTAATAGATGGGCGATGCAATGGAAATTCCTCGACTTGACCTCAAGTCGCCCGCAATGGGACATTAAATGCAAAAGTGAAACCGAAGACAACTGGGACACCAGCTAAATGCTAAAAATTAACCCTCCTTCTTTCCCTTTTTTGTTTTATCCTTTGCAGGATAAGGGTATTAAAAGGATTGATGAGGGAAAAACTGTAACATAAATAAAGTTTGTGCAAGTTTCTTTTAGCTAACTAATGTATCAGAATAATTATAATTTCCCCTTGAAATATGGCAAGACTTGAGAATAGTCTTGATCTAAATCTTTTAAAGAATTCAAAAAAAATAAAATAAAGTTATTTTGTTTTAATTTTTTATTTATCATATATGATTCTTACACATAGGTTGGAAAATATTAAAAAAAAAAATATGCTTAATTTGTTCGATTATCTAATAATACATGGCTTAAGTCACTGAGTTGCGTTAGAATTTTGCGTCCAAGGGCCAGAGACGGTTGCTTAGCTCTAACAAGACTTAAGAACTAAGTTTAATTAAATGAACTAACAAGATAGACTCCTGATTAATTGGGATAATTGAAGCTGTTGACACAGGGATTAATGTGGCTAATGCTCAGCTTTCTGGATTTGGCAGTAGGTTCGCCCCATGACAAATTCATAGAGGGACCATTATGCACGCTCGTAGGGATCTGGTGTTGGGCACTAGGATGCCAGGACTGAGTGGCCAGAAGTGGTGCGGACTTCGACTTGGACCAGGCTTGGGCGGCGGCCTCTAAATCCTGCTTGATGCTCTGCAGGGCCAAATCCACATTGTAGGAATAGTGCCCAGAAGTGGTGGTGGAACTGGAGTTGGTTGAGGGTCCTGGATTCGAAATGCTGGTTGTTGGAGCAGCTGTAGTTTGAGCCAGGTGCTCCAAGATCTCGCTGAGATCGGAGCTGGAGCACATGTTGTTGCTGCTGTGGTTGATCATTGGTGCTACTTCGGTTTTGATCTTCGTTTGGACAAAGTCTGGTTGGGAATTCACGGGAGCTACTGCCACCACAGGACGCTTTTCTGCTGCAGCGGATGTCTCCCTGGGATCCTGGGAATAGGACATCAAGCGCTGCACTATTCCGCGATGGGCACTCTGCTCAGCCTGGGGCTGGGCCATTTTGGCACTAGCCTTAGATTCGCGGGGTCCCTGGATGTCCTTCTTGAATTTCATGCGACGGTTTTGGAACCAGATCTTCACCTGGCGTTCGCACAAAGACAACCGCTGGGCAATCTCAATCCTCCTCGTCCTGTACAGATACATATTGCTCTTGAACTCGTTCTCCAGTTCCACCAGCTGGACACTGGTGAAGGCAGTTCGGGATCGCTTCAACTTCACCCTTTGCGAGTCCTGGCTGGGCTGGGTTGGTAGGTTCTCATCCGAGGACACCTGCTGCTGGTGCAGCTGTTGCGTGGAGCAATGATCGTTTAGTGTGGTGGGGTTGGAGTTCATCTGGCTGTAACTGGGAGCCAGGCTGAGGGGGTTCACAGCGTGATGATGGCCATAGATCAACTAAAAAGGGAATAAAAACCAATCAACTTGATCCCAAGATTTGAGCTTAAGTCCTAGTACTCACATCACTGTATTTGGCCTCCGAAGGAACTGCTGGATACGGGCCCACCTTGGTCAGGTGTACTGGATAGTAATGCATGACGGATGACATCTTCTTCTGCTACTGTCGACTGGACTGTCAAAAGTGGAATGATCTGTCGTCCTAAGCAAACATCAACCTTATATAGGAAGCAATTTAGGTAGATAGCCTAAGCAGGTCAAACCCGTCGACACTTCGTTGCGAAAAAATTTGCCTAAGCCCGCGAGTCGTAAATCCCTTCGTCGCTGCGTTGGCCGACTGGCACCTCGGAGACTAGCCAAGTCCGACGACTCCCGGCCATTGGCAATGGGCAATCTAGAGGCTTGTTTTGATCAAAATCCTGGCGGGATTTGGTGTTGCGTGAGACGCAGTTGCTGGGCTCCGGGGCCACGAGAGACGGAGTCTCGCCAGGTAGACGAGCTGATGATGATCGGAGATCCGAGGCGATTGTTGTCCAACTTATAGCACCTGTTGAAAGGGCCTCCGGTGGCGACGCTGAAAGTGAAACCGAGGCTGTTGTCGCGGCTTTTGGTCGCTCGCCGTCCGCAATTATCCTTATAATGCAATGAAAGCAACGCTGCGAGAAAGGATGCCCCTCGGGGTTTTATGCTCGATTTGGACAGTTTATGACTTTGTTTGTGCCAGGAGGATATGCCCAAGGAACTGTCTCCGTCGCGCCGAATGCGAATCCGACGCGGTCCTCCGTTCCTACGTATCCCGTCCTCGGACTCGGCTATTGTTCGCAAATTTTATTACTGGCGCTATCGGATTTGCTCCTTCTGGGAATTCGCTAAAAATGGACTGGGACAAAGGAAAAGTCATGACAGGATAACCATGTGGAAATGTGGCTATGTCTGTGGTACAGTTGAGGTTCTTAGCTTAGAATAAATATAAAGTTCGTAAATTTAAAACAAATTACCATGTCATATTAAAAATATTTACATAAATTTAATTAATTTTGAAGCTATTTGGCTGGCTAATTATGTTTATCTTACTAATATTTAATTTTATAATAAATGTTTGAATTCTCACATCAAAAGGCAAGTTTTAATTTCATTGCTTACTTGCTTAAGACATTTCAACTTTCTTAATATAAATACCTTTACATATACATACAATTATAAGATGCATAAATGCAGGTATAGATTAATCTAACATATTGGTAATAAAATTCTTAGATAATAATATATAAAAATGAATATATATTTCAACTAATTTAATATTGTTATATATCGGATGAAACATCAATTATTTTCAAACTTAATCAAATTAAGACAAAAAACTTAAAAAAACAAAGGTAACGAAAAGTAAGAATGGTTTCGCGTCATGGTTTTCCCCAGTACAGCCCGTAATCCACCTTTTAAAACGCGCCCATTTGAGCGGGCCAAGGAGCGAGATCAATAAAAATTACAGAACTGGGCAAAACCCGATCAACATTCGTTCATGTAGAGCGCTTCTTGAATTTCTGGATTTTCCAAAATTTATATCAAAGAAAATAATGGCAACAAGTTGCCTGCCGGCGCCCAGCCAGAGTTGCCTGTGCAGTGCCTACCTATATAGTGCGACCGAAAAGGAGATACGGACGGGGAAGGTCGGCGACCAGGTAGCTATATAAACACAGGCAGCTGGTCTCGGTTTTACGATCCGCGGGTGTTCGCGGAAAATCGCGAATCTTGCTTTATGACAGGCATGTGTGAGTATGTGCCATAAAGTGCTTTTTAAATTCATAAGATTTTCGGGAAAACCAGATACTATTTTCGTTCATCCTAGAAAGAGACACATTTCCTACAAATCGGTTAATACACTCGTATGTAGTTAGTCACAGCTTACTCTATTAGAGTAGTGCTTATATTTTCCCATAATGATAAAACTTAAAGCGACAACATCGAAGGTGCACCGTTCTAAAAGTAATCTCGAGGCTTAACAAATTTCAATGCACTTTATAGTGATAAGAATAAAAAATGGGAAAGTTAAGTATTCCGTAGGCAGGAAATAAATCTTTGTAACTAAACAAATGGTCTGCATTAGTTGATACAACGATTTGCTGACGATTCTTTGAAAAAGAATGTGCAAATGTTTGATATGCCAGACTCTTTGGCATAGCATAGAAATTGAAAATATCTTATCGAATATTATTGTTTAAATGTCCAATCTTTAAGAGGTAATCGTTGACTTGATTACCGCCAAGAGAAACATTTTGCTTTTCGATTAGTACAGTTTTTAGCTATGCCAAATTTGTTCAGTAAAGACTTAATTGCTGGCTCGGAATTTAAAAATAGGATAGTAACTTTCCCTGGAATACGTTCAAGCCCAAAAGGCCTTAAGCTGCTCTAGAGGGAAGTTCCTGGGCTTTAGGGGAACTCCTTCTCCAGAAGCAACCAAGGCGAAGAGCGTATTGCCGGGAAAGTTTTGACTTTAATAGGGTATCACTACAGAAGGCACTGAAATCCGATTTGCCTGCTGACTAGGCTAGTACATTAAACTTGGCTAAAAACAATTTACATGGTTCTTAAGAGTAGGCCTAACTTACTACGCGTAGATATCTACAATCACTTGGTATTTGTACAATCAGGAACAACAGTGGTTAACCTAAAGCTAATAAAACGCTGTGGGACGCCGCTTGTCCAGGCTAATTGAAGCAGTAGGCGAACTGCGAGTTGCCTGCGGCGTTACGATGGGGATTATACGCTTGCATTATCGTATCCATCGTGCATTGATATTGGTTCGATTCGGCCATGGCCACTCCCATTCCGAGGGGCGGCTGAGGGCCCTGTGGGGGCGAAAGTTTGCCGAACTTGGCAAAGGCTGTACCCCGATTTCCATTGCCAGCCAAAGCTCTTAGTCCAGTGCTCATGTCGTCACTGCTGCCATCGTCGCAGCTCTTGTCCAGACCCTTCAATGGCTCCAAGATCTAACAGGAAAATATAATAATTATTAGTACACTTATTCCATAATACGGTAAGATATGATAACATATTCATGACAAGCTGTTGTAAAAGCAGTTTAACTATTAAGTGGTATTGAATTTGTATTAGCATCAAAAGTCAAGGTGGTAAGTTGAACTCTTGGCTGACCTGTAGCGTCGTCTTCTTGATCGTTCCGTCGTCCATGTCGTCGGCCGCCTCCGTCTCGCCAACGGCGGTGGCGCAGGGTCCGCCAATGCCGATGCCGCACAGACTGGGACTCTCGTCATTCTTGGGTGTTAATGGCTCGTAGACCTCGGAGCCCGGCGAGGCAGCGCCGCGTGGCACGGCGGATGCAGTGGCGCCAGACATTGCCGATCGCATGTAGTAAGAGCTGTTGAAGTTGTAGTCAGCCTCCGGTTCGTCCTTGACCAGGATGCGGCAGGCGCTGGCTGGCTTCTGCTGGAAGTCAAAGTGATGATACTGCTGTTGCGGAGCCTGCTGCTGCTGCTGCTGCATCTGGAGCGTCATATGATTACTCTGGTGGTGCAGCTGCTGCTGATGATGATGAACCTGCTGTTGCTGGAAGAACTGGCCACCATTGGCGGATCCTGGTACTCCCCCCGCAGGATACTGTGCTTGCACATGGCGATTGGCCTGGCCGTGACTGTTGCCTCCATTGTAGTTGTAGTAGGCGTTGAAGGACTCGCCATAGTGCTCTACCATGTGGGCGGTTGGCGTCGAGGGCGTGGGCGATGGGGTCAAGGCATTCGGCGTGGCTCCTCCACCCAAGCTCAGGGTCTGTAAGCTGGGGGGATCGCCATCGCTCTGTTTTAGACCCGGCGAGAGAGGCATTCCCTCGTACGACTGATCCTTGTGCTGATCTGATTGGATTTTGTGACGACGCCGACGATTCTTGAACCAGATCTTCACCTGGGCAGTGCCCAGAGCCAGTTTAGCTGAAAGATCCGCCAATCTGGGAGCCGTGAGGTATCGTCCCTGCAGAAAGTGCTGCTCCAGCTCTGCGATCTGGGAGCTGGTAAAGGTGGTGCGAGTGCGACGGGGTCGTCGCATCACCAGAGAGTCAGGCAACTCCTCTGGGGGATACATATCTGATAAGGCGGTGGTGGACAATGTTTACTTCAGACTCACCTGGCTTGGGCATCTGGTTCGGCAGATACGGACGTATGTAATTGTAGTTTATGGCACCCGTTCGTTCATCAAAAAGCTGCAAAGAATCAGAGAGTGAACTATCTTTATATAAAAACATGAAAAGACGACTGGCATCGATGGCCAAAGTTTGTAAAACTCTTTCCCATAAGTTAATTACGAAATCTACACAATCACAATAATTACGAAATTTATATAGTTTTCTGACCTATTGAAACTGGAAGATCTATTGACTGCTGAAATTTATAAATATAAGGATGAGGGTAAACTTTTAAACTTTTTGCTTAAAATATTTTTGGTATGATACTAATCATTTTAATATTTTAAACGAAGAAACCCTTTATTATTAGACAAAAGAAAAATGGCTCAGAGTTCCAACCTAGAATCCTTTCTTAAATTAAAACGCACAACTTAATATGCTTAAGCTAAGTTAATCTTCCTATTAGACATAGTAACCAAAGATCCTTGAAACTAAGACACTATTTTCAGTGTATATATGTATGATCCTTACACACATTTTTACTCGTCATTTATCCCAATATCTATTTGGTCGAAGCTTCTTGTTAGTTAGACTAACTAAAAAGCGTTCAGTTTTGTAAAAGATTCTAAACTAATTAAATTAAGTAAAAATGAAATAGATCATATTTTATCTTAGAAAAACCTTTAAAGGGGTAAAAAATCGGACTTCGATTCTAGCAGTTCACCATACATAGTCTGTACTGTACTCCCCAGCGATATTGCCCACTTTCCACTCACCAGATCGAAGGGATTCCGGAATTGTGGCGGCAGCTGGAGCTGCGGATGCTGATGATGTGGGTGCGGATGCGGATGCGGATGAGAGTGGGGATGTGTGTGCGTGTGTGGCAGCGGATGGTGGTAAAAGTTTTGATCTGGCGGCGGTTGCGCCATTTTCCCCAAACACTCCGCCGCTTTGTTTTCAGGGATTTTCTAGCACCGCGCTGCGAAATTGCAATTGGATCGCGGGAAAATATTTTGTTTTCTTTGGTAACCGGTTACGTTCGAGACGCTCGCGAACTTATTTCGCCAACATTTTGCGATTTTGCGATCCACTTGCTTCGCATCTGCATAGTGCCGTTATTTAGGGATGGGGCTGAGTAAGTAGCGATGGAAGAATAAAGACTGGAACGTTGAGTTAGTTATTACTAATTATCTAATGAAGAACAAGCCGTTTTTAGAAGTTGTGCATTATATTTATTTCGTTAATTTTGGGTTTTAAGCCATTGCCATTTATTCACGAGTTATTAATGGAACAATCTGGCAACGCCGTGGAAACTGTAGTCTCAGAGAGTTTCGGGAGATGGCGCCAGTGTATAAGAAAATAGCGCCCCTTTTGAAAATCTTTAAGAATTTTGTTGTATACAGACAAAAGGTAAATGATTTTTGGCGGTATTTTTGAAATACCTTTTGCCCAAAATTATACCCTTTTATATATCGATTTCGAGTTTTGCTTTTATTTAAAGGGTTACAAATGATGTCAAAAGTTAAACAAAAACATTTCCAATTACATAGAAAGCATTATAAACCAGATATCGTTTCATATAACAGGGGATTTATTCGTAAAGACGTCAGAGGTAGAATTCAATTTATTAAATTATAATATAGCAAATATTAAATGATAATAAGCTTATTAAACTCCTAATAATGAATTAAGATCGTAATAAATCATTTATCTTCTTGTTTCAAGCAACTTAGATTTCAAAATGTATCAAGATGTTTCGTAATATTAAACTTAAAGCAAAAATGATTGAATAAATCTGCATCAATTTGATGCACTATATACTTGGTCTTACTGATAAATAAACAACAGAATGCTGTAAGCATTAAATTCAATTGTCACCTTTTATGCATAAACAAATACGTTATTACTGTATAGATGAAAGAAACATTTTTCTGTCGTTTTTTACTTTTTAGGATATAGATTTCAATGCATTTGCTTTAAAGTAGCAAAAAGTAGCAAAACTCTTCCTGTTATGTATTTATGTTATTTGTACAATAGAATACTCAACGTATTAAAGCCACTAAAATGGCTGATTAACATTAAAAAAAAGAGGTTATTTGTTATACAAAAAAGAAAAAACAAATTGTATCACTTTGATTTTAAAAAGTCGCTAAAAGCTCAAAATGAATGCAGACATTACGTTTTAAAATGTTTTTATATATACAGTAAGTAGCCCAACATGTTTAATTAACTCACATGGTGTATGAGTTACATATAAATAGCTCTTTTGTTTATTTATCAAATTCATAGAACACACATATATTTATCCCATTGATGAGTATTTTTGAAACAAAGTTAGAGGTCATTTTCTATTTAGCTCTAGGCTTGACGTGGATCATCACTTTTAAGACGTCCTCCAGATCCATCTTTGCTGTTTCGAAAGCTTGTACAGCCTCCTCGATATCAAAATGGTGGCTCATAAGACGCTTCAGATTCAGTTTTCCTGAGGCTACCAAGGAAAGGGCTTGGGCATAGCTGAAAGGAAAGATCGGTAAACATGTAGATTTTTGGCTGATTCAACTTACTCTTCGCTGCTGATTCTAGCATTAGATGCAGGGTTCGAGATGGCTAGAACTCCACCCGACTCAAGAACCTGGAAGGGAAATTAGGAAAAACTAGGTTTAGTTAACAAGTTGCTCTTCTCATCCTTTTTAGCCATGTCTGCAGATTCTAGCTTCGTACTACAAGATTTTATACCTCTGAGGTCAATAACGTCTCCAGTCCAATGTAACTGGTCCTGATATAAGCACTTGCTAAATCTCCAAATGCTTCGCGGACGTGCTCCACCACTTCCGTGTCGGACTGTTCCGACTTCTCCAGAAGAGTGTGTGTGGCGCCCAGCTCCTTGGCCAATTCCAGGCGGTGCTGCTTCATGTCTGTCACTAGGATCTGAGAGACCCCCATGGCTTGGGCGACCTGAAAGGTTAGAGAAGTTATAAATTGCTGTGATATTTTTCTAGTCTTACAGTCCTCTATGAATTTATTTGTTAGAAATTTGATTCGTTTTTATATAAGATTCCTTATATTAAGATTTCTTTTTATGTAGAGAGAAGTTGTCCCATTTTTATAACCCAAACATGCATATTTCCAAAACTTACCATCAACGTGACTAGGCCCAAGGGTTGTGCTCCACAAATGACAAGTTTTGAGCACGGCTGGAGCCTTCCCAAGCTGCAGGATGACACTGCCGTTGCTACCAGGTTGACCAGAGCGCCCTCTTCCATGGTGACGTGATTAGGCAGTTTCAAGCAGTAGTCCGCCGGGTGTTTGAAATAGCGGGTGAGGGTGCCATCGGTGGGGGCGAAGGCGCAGAAGACATTTTCAGGGCAATTGCAAAACTTACCCTCCTTGCAGCGATCGCTGTAGTGGCAGGGGAAGCCCGCTTTGATAGCCACGCGGTCGCCAACGCTCAGGCCAGACACCTTCTGGCCCCGCTTTACCACCACACCGGAGGACTCGTAGCCAATTACCATGGGCTTGATAACATTTTTATCCCTGAGTGAAATAGTACAACCTCAGTCGAGCATATGGTGTTTTTTCTAGCTATGTTCATAATGCCGGCATAGCTATGTATCATTGACAGAGGGTTCTCGTTAAAAGGAATCGGAAAATTTGTAAAATAAAAAAATATATTAAAACTGAAGGACTGTGAAGGGTTCTCATTTGTTCCATATTATGGGCGTCATAATCGATCTAGAGAATCAACAATTCGTGCTGATATCGCCCAATTTCGCTCTAAATTTACTTTGTTGGACAACTGTAAGTTGGCCACCCAGATCATGCTATTTAACTCCCCTTGATTATTATTTGTGGGGATATGTAAAGTCTTTGGTCTATGTAGACAAGTCGAAGACGATTTAAGCCTTACAGGATAACATAAAACGCGTGATTCGCGGAATGCAGGCAGAAATGCTCGAAAAAGTGACGCAAAAATGAACATTCCGAATGGCGCACTGGAAACGGAGCCGCGAACAACATTTAAATGAAGTTATTTTTAAAACGTAAATGCCAAAGCCAATTTATGGATTCCAATAATAATTTATATTTTATGATGCAAAATTCGAGTGCTTTATTCGATTTAAAGAAAAAAAGAGATTAAGGAATCACCCGTTACGTTTGAAATTCTTTCTAGATCATTTCCAACGAATATTGGAAAATGATTTTAATATTTTAACCCTTTATGACATTGGTATTGTATACTTACTTTGAGTATATATTAAATAAAATAGGATTAGGTCTTCCATAAACGAAATAGTGTAAATCAGATTTTCCCACTGCAACAGTGTCTATTGCTAGAAGGACATCTAGAAGGAATAAATTAGAAGAAGAATGTAGAATACAAATTAAAAAGAAGAAAGTCCATAGTCCCCATGAGATATCTATCTTTGCGTTTACTAAATTGTAGGTATTAACGAAAAAATAATCTGTAAGCTTGAACCAAAACGTGAATCTTAAAGCGATATACGTCACAATTTTTCGTGGCTTGTGGACCTTAGAGTGGGTGTGGACGGATTATGTAACCCAAGATCTGCAGGCTTAATCCCTAATCAATCTCTTATAAATCCTGTGATCTAAGCGATCATACGGCTATTGATCCTTATCAACGAAACTTTAGTCGGACACACCATGAATCATAAAACAAATCAAATCAGAAGATTACTTAAGATTTTATCAAAAAGTGAAGGTTCTTAGGCCTCAAGCGGTAAGTGATTTCAATGCCACTCAAGGGCAGTAGTGGTATCAAATTAAATGTATTTATTAGCAGATACTGAAAGCCGCTCCTTGTCTGAGATGCAGGGAGATCCTTTAAAATTTTCTTGTAAATGAAACATTGCTTACCAAAATCATCTACCTCAGGAATCGGCCGTTGTTCCTAATAAAGCGGTTAACGTTGCTAAATAATCAAGAGCGCTGATTTGTTCACCAATTTGTTCTTACCAATCGCAGGCCATTAAGGTACAGCACAACCGTGAGATTATCCTCTTCCATTTCTAGCCTTTGATTGAAAAAAATTGGCACTCTAACAACCGATCGCTTTAGCAGTTGATTCGCTACTGATTAATATTTCAAATGACATAGTGCCTTTGCTGTTATCTATCGGCTATCTATCTATCAGCTATCACTGTGCAAAGATAGCTAATTAATCGGAACATGGTTTACGGCCAATGTTAACACTACAGCTGTAATTGTTTATATTTACGAGTGTATTACAGGCTTGTTGAATCAATTCTTACATAACTGACATTATCTTAATCGGGAATCTATAAATTCTAGCTGTTATATGAAGAGCTTTGCACAAATACTGCATCTCTTGGCAGAATTCAAGACTCCAGTATTTTAAAAAGAAGTCCCGCCAGTCAGTTGACCTTTAAGCGAGTGTCAGAAGGCCTTAAGTGAAATATTTTTTAATGACATTTACCGAATAATTGTCGTGTTTGCTTTTGGGATCTGGCATGAGCTTGTTGCTGTTGGCCTGGCTTTGTCGCTCCTGCCGCTGCCAACTGGCAACAAAAGTCAATTCAGAGACACTCCAGTCGACGGCGGATTCGGATTCGGAGTCGGAGTGCAGCCAAAAGGCAAACAAAATACGCGCACATAGTCAAAGCCAAAGAGTACACAGCAAAGGCACAGTGGTTGCTTTGATAACCAATTCGCGCTCATGAAAATTATAATTTTGAATTTAAGATAATGTTGGCAAATATGCCAGAAGCTAACTTAGACCAAGCAGTTTTTGGAACACATTTAATACTTCTGCAGATCTTTTACTTTATGAAGTTATTGTTTAAATAGGCATAACAACTTCTAGATCTCCGCCACTTAGAAAAATATATTAAAAATATTTAATTTCATCTAAAATTATCCTGATTAAAAAATAATTACATATATTATCCCTATTAAAAATATGTAGGTAAAAGAATAATAAGTCTTAAGTACTGCTTAGCCCTCAGTAATGAGCTGAATGTTATCATACGATGGAAAGAGAGATTTCACAATACAACGAAGCTTTGTTGGTTTTGAAAATCGTAATGAAAGGAAGTGCGATGCACCACTGTGCAGGACTGGGCCACAAATTCACACGCAGTGTGTGACAAAGGACGTTGTTCCCCTCCCCGCTCGGCAGCCCGCCTGCTGAATACCCTCCGTGTGTGCCGCTGCCGAAGCGAAACACCCAAAGAGTCACTGACAGAAACAGGATTCGGGTAATAAATTACAAAATTTGACATTTTCTGTTTTGGATCCGCTTGCGTACGGCAGCCCTCTCTCGCTTTCTCTCGCACGCCGTCTAGCCGTCTCTTTCGTTTGGTTTCGGTGTGTGTCCAGTTTGGTCGAGCCAAGTCGACCGTTGCATAAAGCAGCCAGGACCAGGCAGGACCCGGCAGGACCTAGACCTGGACCTGGATCCAAAAAGGCATCGACGCAACGACGGTCATAATGACGCTGCCGGAATGCAACTGAAGCCAGGGATAACCCACAACCGGAGGGGAAGAGCAATGGAATAGAAGCGCCCTATGCGGTCCACAGATAGTTAACTGGAAATTTATTATTTTACACAATTTACAATTATCTGATTCGAATGTGCACTCAGAGATGGGAATTCTGGAAGATGTGAGATGGGGAGTACGGAAAACGGAGTAAGGACTTCGGACTTTGAACCTCGGACGACAGATGCAGCTGCCCTCCCACGGGAACGGCCTCATTTCGGCAGAAGTCACCGAAACGATTTAAGATGTGATTTAATTTTCCAGAAACTGTGGCTATCGTTTTCGTTGCTCTTAAGGGGAATTTCTTCGCCAGACAGACAGCGTCGTCATCAATCATTTCCCATAGTTAAGCCGGGTTAACCTCGACGGGTATTAGGGGGAACTTTTGCCCGGGGGGTGATCAGAAGTCGGGCTGGGAATTATGGAAATTAAATGCGAAAAGACGGGGGCGAAGTTTCCGGGGCAGGCGAAAGTTTTCAATTAAACGAGTGTTTATACAACAAGTGAAATAATTTTAAACTGTTTTAACTTAAATCGTTGTCATATTTAAATAACAAATAACGCCTTGTTTTTTATTATATATTTATTATATTCCGTACTAAATATTTGACTAATTGTTGTTAAAATAGGTTGTCTGTCTAAACTACTATAAGGCTCTTTCTGTTTCAATACGTATTCGGCTGAAGCCTCTACATCTTTCAATTAATCAACTAAAATTGTTTTTTATTCATATAAGACTTATAGGCAAGAAGTCTTAGTTATCCAATAAATAAGTGAAGCCTAATCACATCAGCTATTGCTTTTAAAAACTTTCTGATATAATAATTTATTTATTTATTGATGCTTACAATTAGTTTTAAACTAAGAGCTAAGATTGGGTTAAGAGGCATAGCAGCTAACGCCTTTGGCTCGACTGACATGAGTATAAACAAAGGAAATACTCTGAAAAAAGTAAAAGTAAAGTAACTAAGGAGATATTTTAAACATATTTAATAAAAATGGTGCAGTCAATGAAACCATATAAATAAATTTAAATTATTTAATTGCATTAAAAGCATATTTAGATCTTTTAATATACGGTATCGTAAATAATTAGCTATATTAAAAAGAATAAAAAGGATAATTCCTCCTTCTTAAAGTATAAATTCCATTACCTCCTATATGGTAATCCTTATTTCCCCCAAGAAACTTCTTACAAAAACTTACCTTAAAGGAAAATGAAGGACTATCCACAAGCAGCTAGGTTAAAGTTCCTTAAATTCCCCGAGTACTGCCCCTTAAATTTCCCGCTCAATTTCCCAGCATGGCTGAACAAGGACTCACAAGAACTCAAAATAAATCCCACCCAACGCAACGCTTTCCACCCCCTTTTCGGGTGCCTTTTCGCGCATGCGCCCATGCTCCTGGGCGAAAAGAGACAGCACTATTAGATGTTGGGATCGCTGAAATTTCCAGAGCGCACAGGATATTCCAGCGGCTGGTTGTTGCTTTTGTTCGCCGGCAGCGGAAAGTAGCGCGCCATGCCATAAATCACAAATGGCTCGCATTCCTCCCTTTCCACCCCGCTGCTGACCTTCCCCTTGGTTCCCTTCCACGAATCCCTAATCGTTTTCGCCAAATGGCGGCACAAATTTAAATTTGAATTTGAATTTGAATTTGAGTTTGGGATGTCTTTTAGTTTTCCCGCTGATTCTTTCGCTGGCGCTTTGTTTTTGCAACTGACCGCTTATCTTGGGGGGCGGGCGTTGCCCAATGGGCGCCGCAGGGGCCTAAAGGGCAACAACAACAGACAGCAAAACAAATCAATTGAGACGAGAAGGAGAGTGCATTGATAATCCAGTAAACAATTTAAATACGGGCTGAAACCCAACACACACTTCCAGAAGCAGATACAAACACAGATACTGTTGAGGCGACAAAGTAAACAACCGAAGGCAATACACGATCCAGAATGTCGATGACTTCTTCAGCAAATACACTGTGAGAAAAATATTTGAATTTATATGAAAACAATTCGTGAAATATATTAATGCCAAAACTAGTTGAAATGCATTGTATGGATTTCATAAACAAAGTTTTTAGTCATTTGGTAAATAAAAATATTAGTTTTAAGTTATATTATTATAAGTTCTTCGTCACTTTTTTATCATAGTAGGTTGGGTACTAAACCCAAATGTTGCCATAAACTTATCTTAATCCAAAAACCCATTTTTATTTCAGCACTAACATGCCCGTTTTATCTTTGACTTACAAATAATTGTTAACATTTACACCAGAGTATAAAATAAAAATCAAATCTGAATTTCTGCAAGTGTACCCATTACCTCGCGCAGACAAGCCAATCAATCATAATGATATCTACCTGCCTTATTCTCGCAGTGCACAATTTTCGGGACTCTTCGAGTAGATAACGAGCCCTCGGCGTCGGCGCAGAAAAAGCAACACAAAGAAACTGAAAATGAGAAAAAGGCACACGGATCCGTCGAAAGAAGAGATTCGGGATTTCGGACTGAGCGCAGTTGCGTCTGACGGCTCAGAGAGTGAGGAAGTCCGTAAAGTGGAGTGAAGCACAGTGAACCTATAGAACAGAGATAATCGAAAACAGGGAGAATCAAAGAAATCATTGAATCGTGTAATTTAACAAATTAGTATAAATAAATAAAAATAATATACTAATAAATCGTAAAAATAATCAAGATCAAGATAATAAAGATCGCACACCTCCAAAAGTGAATTCGAAACAATTGCCATTTGAAAGTTTCAAATTGAAACAGTTAGTTTATTGAATAATAAGCATATTCACTCCAATCTTGGAATAACAACTATTGATGTTTTGACGTTAATCTTTGATTTAGGCGGAACTTAGTTTAAATTTAACCAATCAAATCAAATATGTACACGTATTGGGAGTTAAAAGTGTTCTCCTTATAATCTTCAACCTAAAGTGACTCTTCCTTTTCAATATTCTTTTCTTACAGATCAGCCATGGCGTGTCAGAGGCTGTTCATCGGCCTATTCTTGGTCCTGACGATCACTTTGGAGTCAATCCTTGGAGCCCCAGTGATAAGTCAGATCAGTAAGGATGTGGTGGCTAGTGTGGGCGACACCGTCGAGTTCAACTGCACCGTGGAGGAGGTGGGCCAGCTTTCGGTCAGTTGGGCCAAGCGACCTAGCGAGTCCGATACCAACTCGGTCGTGCTGTCCATGCGGAATTTCCTTAGCCTTCCCGATCAGCGTTACAATGTCACGGTCACCGAAGGACCCAAGGCTGGAACTGCCACCTATACCTTCCGCATTCAGAAGATCGAAGTGAGTGACATGGGACCCTACGAGTGCCAGGTGCTTGTTTCGGCCACGGAGAAGTTGACCAAGAAGCTGAGTCTGCAGATCAAGACCCCGCCAGTGATCGCGGAGAACACTCTCAAGAGCACCTTGGTGACGGAGGGACAGAATCTGGAACTGACCTGCCATGCCAATGGATTCCCCAAGCCCACGATCTCGTGGACCCGCGAACATAATGCCGTGATGCCAGCCGGTGGTCATTCCCTCGCGGAGCCCACTCTCCGGATTCGCTCCGTGCATCGGATGGATCGCGGAGGCTACTACTGCATCGCCGAGAACGGAGAGGGTCAGCCGGACAAGCGGTTGATCAGGGTGGAGGTGGAGTTCCGGCCGCAGATTGCCGTCAAGACGCCCAAGATCGCCCAGATGGTGTCCCACACTGCGGAGCTGGAGTGCTCTGTGCAGGGATACCCGGCACCAACTGTAGTTTGGCACCGGAACGGAGTGCCCCTGCAATCGAGTCCGTATAAGGAGGTGGCCAACACCGCCTCCTCCTCGGGAACCACAACCTCTGTGCTGCGGATCGACAGCGTTGGAGAGGATGACTTCGGAGACTATTACTGCAATGCCACGAACAAGTTGGGCCACGCCGATGCCCGACTGCATCTCTTCCCGAGCGTCATCCCAGTGCCCTCCAACTGGTAGTGCCCCGCAATCCCGCAATCCCACATTTCCCGTTCCCACGCAACAAGACTGGATCCCTCGCTTTTTCGGCAATCGCCAGTCCGGATGCGGCCTGTGTTTATATTATTAATGATTCATTCAATTAGCTCCCATTCAGACTACATTATTTTCGGACTCACTTGAGATTGAGTGTCTTATGAATTCTGCTCTGCATCCGTCGGTGTATGTAAAACACATTTATATACTTAAGTAAATAACATTCTCTGATAAAGTTTAATCGGACTTTTCCTATGTAGCTGGGCCTGGCTCATCGCCCAACTGCCACGAGCGAATGATAAGGGCCAAGCTGATTTAATAATTCAATCGCATAGCTTTGCAGGTTGCTTAATTCAGATCTTTGAATATCATATCGAAATTAGAAAACATAAAATATATATTAAGTCTAAGTGCCTAACTTTCCTAGAACTGATGAATAAATCATTCTTTTCAAAACATAAAGGATTGTTTGACTTCAGCTAGCATGTAAGCCTGATGAAAAATACCTTTGCTCAATCCTAAGCTAGATACCTCCCAAGATAAGCCACGATAAACTAGCTTAGATCTCCCCAAGGTCCCACCTGGACAGCCATGTGACCCAACGAGCATGTAACCCAACGGTTAATACTGCCGAAAGTCATTTGCCAAAAAGTTAACTGAGCCCGCTCAAAGTGCCACAACATTTAACTCTTCAATCATGGTTAAAAAATGGCACTCAGTTCACCTCTTGACGTAAACACTCACACATGGCCAACATGGTGAGAACGGTGGCTGGTCTCGAGTTTTCCGAGCTCTGCGCCGAAAACTGAACCCGAAAGTAAGTTGTTCATTGTAATTGAGAAAAATGCGAGGCATTTGTAAGGCGGCCCAACGAGTTGGGTCTGCCACTGGCACAACAACTATTCAAGTGTGTTGTGTGTTGTGTGTTGTGCATGGGGGAATCCCAGGACGGAGTCCCCGAAGGACTCCATTATGGGCAGAGCACATTAGTTTAACTAAATCCCCAACCCGGCTCATCGCTCACTAAAATCAACACTTGCTAATGACTTAATTGTTTCCATTAGAAACCCGTTGCTGGAATACATTTGGTAAATTTTTCATCCTTGCTCTTAGCGTTGTTTTTATGAGTTTTTTTGTTTTTGTATTTTTCGTATTTTTGCACATGTCCTGCTGGCTGTCCTGCACCCCGCACCAAATGAATCCTGGCTAAATGTCTGTCTTTATTGTAATTGGTATTGTTGCTGCTGCTCGCACGCATTCGAGCCAGAAGTCCAGGGACAACACGTGCGTCCTCGTCTGAAACTCCCAGTCTCGAACCACGAGCCTCGAACTCCCATCCTGTCGTCCCTTGGCTAGAACATCATTTCATTGTCTGCCGGAGTCGGAGGCTGAGGCATTGGCGGCAGGAGAAGCCCAACATGGACGGCGACGTGACTTTTATTGATTTTCGGCTTGAAACCTCCCTCGAGAGCGAGAGAGTCGCCAAAAGTCGATTGGAACGCAAGCTGTGAGATTCTGCGGCTCGGTGAGTTTAGGGGTGGAAATCGCGTTGCTGAACGGGGTTTTCCTTTTCCGCTACCCTCCTCTGAAAATGGCAACAGTAAGGCCTGCCTAAGGAGCCCGGCATGAAGGAGAGCTCACTTTCAGTTCCTCCTTCGCCTGAATGGTTTCCAGCAGGATGGAGGAGGATGCTAACTAAGAGTAAACGCCTGCGCAGTGGCTTCCGATGGTCACCTTGGAACCAGTGATGACGGCCTAGATACTTTTTATCATCCTCTAAATACGGTAAAAATTTTAATGTTACTATATAAAAAGTTCATAAAAATAACAAAATTTAAAACTTTATGGAAACTTAAACTTAAGTAACATGTTACTTGAACATAAAACATTTTATTATGTTTAAATCTAAAATATATATCAGAGAAATCACAGCAGACCTTGCCTGTTTATTATTAAGATTTATTAAAATTGGTAAATATTATGTTATTATCAAACTAATTATGGTTTATTGTTACATTTTATAAACTAACTAATCCTCCTTTATTACCTTAAGTTTTAGCTAGTAAATGGAGACCATAAAACTCCCAACACTGTTTTCGACTTGCACTTTTATTGGATGCTGTTGCTGGAACCTGGAAACCGAATCCGCCGACAATCTCTGGCTTCCAAAACGAGCCGCCTCCACAGGCCGGCGCTCATTCGACTGGGATCTTTTGGCCAGGATGCAGTGGCCCAGATACCGCGGCTCCAGCAACCATTTTCCCACTATTTTCCGCAACCTTAACGACGAGCGCAACGAGCGGTTGTAAACAAAGGCCGTGGGGTTGGCTTTACGAGTTGATGATGCCCGATGATGATGCCCAGTTCCGCGACTCTATATCCACCGCCAAGGAGCTGTCATCACAATAAAACGCGGCCAGTGGCACGTGAAATTCGATTGGGTGAGTATCTCGTTGAAGATTTCGCAGATGCCCCAAACAGGTGTGCCGCAGTGAAATAAGATTTTGGTGGCTTTATGAGTTTCCCAATGTGGGAGTGTGACATGGAGTGCTTTTGAAATCAATCAGTTCTTTAAATCATAATTAAAGGTGGGCTCAACTTGGTTTATTATTCTCTTTATCGAATTTAAATGGAAATAATTCTTTTCGAAGTGATTAATCTAAGCGCGCTTTCTCAGTTTTAAGTAATTTTCACGAGTTTTTCAAATACTAAATAAACTAAAATAATAAATAATAATAATAATAATAAATTACTTAGAGTAATCCATATTACATCTCCAAACCAATTTCATTACAAAAATATTTTCTCTGAGTGACTATTGACTTTGTGTCTAGAACAGGTTTTTTGGACACTGAAATTTTGGCTCGTGGCCAGCATGTAAACCCAAGATTTATCTGGTAACGTGCCAGAACCGAATTATGTGATCAAATTTGTTTTTGCCTCGAAATTTAATTAAATCAAGTGTCTCAACTTGATGCTAGAACTAAAGGAGTAACCTATTGGTTACAAAATATTTATGCTATCCCAAGGGCACTAACTGCTATAATTTATAATAATAATTTAATGGATAACTATTTAAAAACACAATATTTGACAATACGTGCCCTAAGATTTATTTACAAATTAGAGTGTGACGCTCTTGCAGTTTTAGGGTGTTCAAAAATTGTTTTTATTGGTTTTTTATGATTTGATAGTTCTAGAGATTCCCATTTCTGAACAGATTAAACAACGTTAGCAGATTAATGATCTTGTTTATAAGAATAAGAATTATATATATATATTATATATTATATATATAATAAAATATTTTCTTTAATTTATACTGAATAGCTATCCTGATCCTCTTTATTTAGTTGTAGTCTAGCTCTAATAAATAGTTATTACTAAAAAATTTAAGAAAATTAAAATGCATCAGAATGAGGACATCCAAAATTGTATTGAATTTCTAATTGAATATATTTCTATGAGTTTTTATTTTGAATTCAATTATAAAGTATCTGTTGTATTATTGAAAATCGATCGAAAGCCGTCAATCAGGGAGATCAAATCAATATTTCTGCACATATACAAACATATTTACTTAGGTTTTCACTCAACGCGATCTAAAGATCTCAAGCAAGCAGTTGCCCTCACCCTATTCACCACACACTGCTTGCATAAACACTGCTTGGCAGCAAGTGCCCGCCATATTCAAATGAGATGCAATTTATTGATGTCTTAAGATAATTACTGGATAATTATCCAGATTTTGTTGAGGGCGCCAAATGGAGGGGGTGTTGGGGGTGGTGCAGATGCAAATGAATGGATGCCACGCCTACAATCAGATAATTATGAGCATGTTCGCCGTACGCGCCATAAGTAATTGCATTGTAATTAATGCTGGCACGCCGCTCTCTCTCTCTCTCTCTGTTTGCAAAAGATAAATTAGTAAATGAATTATCGCTGGCAATAGTGGGGCATTAATTGAAGTCTCGCGCGCTTGATTTATGAGTCCTGGGCAATTTATGGACGAATGCATAACCATTTTCCCCAATATCCGTTAACATGCGGCGAGCGACAGAGATGCACGAGTGGAAAAGCGGAGAAATGGAAAACGGCAAATGGAAAATGGGAAAAACTCTGCCATAAATAATAATTTAAATATTTCATGGCCCGGGCATAAAAACGAATTAGCCTCGCGCTGCCTTAAAGCCAAATATTTACAATGGCTGGGGTACCCATTACGCAGAGAATAAAATATGAATGTGGCCATATCAGTTTAGCTTTTTCTCTGATATTATGATATATTAGTATATCTGATGATTAGAACGGAATTAAATGGTTCCAATTTTGATCTGATCTGATCTGAAAGTCTTTACGGTATTTTTATTAAGTTAAACCAAGACTTTAGAAAAGGTTATTAAAAGAGATAGAGATAGATGCCAATGAACTTTTAAAAGGTGATTAAACGTAATACTCAAAACTATTTTTATAAGTTTAGATATCAGTTTAAAATAATCATTTTTAAATAGGAAAAATACGCAATTACAGGTTACAATTGGTTGAAAATGTGAAAAGTTTACAAGTTAAAACAAATAGAATTTATAAATATTTTCTTTCTTTCTTTTAACTTTCCCTTAGTTTGCCAACATTTAAAGATCCAGACCATACAGTAATTTTAGTTATTCTTCAATAATTTACCATAAGACCCTTCACTGACCCAATCCCAAGATATTTCTCTCAGTGCACTGAATGTGAGTGACAAGATTGCATGTATGCATCGGTCGCTGTGGTGCGGAAGGAAGAAAGGGGACTTGGTGGGATTTCGGTTTGCTTGTTTGTTGCCTGTCATTAATCCTTTCATGCGGAGACAAATGCAAACTGCTTTGTTTCCACCCACTACCCAGCCACGCCCCCTGGGATCCTGGTGCTGCGGTTGCGGTGCGTGCTCAAATAATAAATTTAACTAATTGCCCCAGCGATTGGCCAAACAAACCAAGCCAAGCGAGCTGGCATTACGATTTGCATTGCCAAATAGTCTGCAGCTCCGTTCGACTCTGGCAGCCTTTAAGCTCCCTAACTGGGAAAACTTGGATCGGAAACTTTCGAAGAGGGGGCGTGGTCAGTGTCAAAGTCAGGCGGGAGCTGGCAATGGATTGGATTCGAGTTCTTCGAACGGCTTAACTTGGGGATTATGGAAACTGCTTTTCATGATTCATTGCGATTCGAGTTCTGAATTAAGGATATTGGCTTAGATGCCTGGCTTCATGACTCGAACAAGTCAATGATAACTCAGTTTAAATGTTAGGAAAGCAAAACTAACAATATAAGGAAATATTGATTCGATAATGGTGACAATATCTTCATGTAAATGGGAATGCCTAAATTGAGATGCCTGATGCTTAGTAGTAGTAGTGGGAATCTACTTGATATAACAAGTTATCTAAAACGTGGCCATGGCTTATTACAATTTAGTTTCTTTA